GCTGGGAGAAGCGAAGAAGGCCCTGAAAAGGCAAGAAGTCTAGGACAGAGCCAGTCCCTGTCTGGAGCGCCTCAGTCGCTTGCTGGAGACTGGGGTTCCTTCTCCCCACCACGCCAGCTGCTGCGGGGCGGCTCAGGACCGGCGCCGCGGTGCGGTTATGCGGGATTCGGGAGTCCCGGCAGTGGAGGGAGGGATCCCAGCCCACTCGCTCCCACTACCAGAGGGGGCTAGTTTCAGCTCCCGGCGCCAGGCGGCCGGATCCATCACTGCAGTTGGCTGGAGGCCGGACGGCGCGTCCCCCGAGGCTCCCAGGCAGCCGGCAATGTCGGCCGGGCGGGGAGGGCAGCGGCGGGCGGCGGAAAGCCTGGGGCCCGAGGAGACGGCGGCCGCCGCGCTGTGGGGGTGGCGGTCAGCCGGGACCCGCGAAGGGGCCGCGTTTCCCGCACTAATTAGCCCTTCCCCAGCCGCCTTGGTAGGTAATTGGTGCTTCGGGGGTGGAGGTGTCGGTGGAGAAATGGGGGCGCCGCTTCGGCAGCGGGGAGCCAGGCTCAGCCCTAGGTGCGTGGCAGGAGCGCTTGTGCGCGCTGTGCGGACCTGAACTTTGCACCTGTGCGCGTTCTTCATTGCCGCAGGGCTGGCGGGCAGAGGAGGTAAACCAAGGGGTGGAGGAAGCCCCAGAAGTTCCGTGGGGTCATCATCAAGAGCCAATCATTTCTGGGAACCGCTCCTCGCGGTGGGGCTTTACAAAAGACTCTGGGTGGCTGTCGGGAGTTGAGTGGGAGCCAGAAGACAAGGTGGAGGCAGAGGGGTAGGTAGCCCTCCCCTCCCCCCTCATCCAGCTGTGCAGCCAGGGGGAGGGGCTGGCAGAAGAAGGCACTGTCCTGGGTGGATGAGGAGGGTGTGGAACAGGAACTGAGAGAGGCACCCCTCCCACACCTCCCGCGGAATCCAGGCTGCCCACTTAAGTTCTTTATGCCGGAACCTTAGGGAAGGTCCTAGGGTTTCCCACAGTCCTTTCTGATTCTCTTGTCTGATTCCCTTGTCTACAGTTGCTCTTCCTCCAGGTTGGGGGACAAGTTCCCTTTCCCAGACCTGCATGAGAGATCCCCAGGAGGGATGTTAGAGGAAAATCTCTCATGAGCTTATTTAAGCTCAGGAAGGCAGACTTTATTCAAGACTATCAAAATAGGCATAGCATAGGGCTTTGCAGCGAGGGAGAGATTGGGCTCAACTCCCAGCACAGCATAGGGAAGTAGGAATTTATAGCTAAGAGTAGGGTGGGAACAGGGAACAGACTCTTACTAAGAAGAAACATCAGGGGTAAGGGGCAAGGGTTCTGGCTAAACCCATCTAACGGGATTCTTTCAGAAGACAGGCGAAGGTGCTCATGGGAGGATGGTGTGGGACTCTTGTTTGTTATGGAGGGTGATCAGATATGGAATATGGGAGGTTCTTTTTTGTTTGGTTTGTTTTGACTGATCTGGGGTTTGAACTTAGGGCCTCATACTTGCTAGGCAGACACACTACTACTACTTGAGCCACACCTCCAGCCCTTTGTGTGTGTGTTGGGTATTTTCTTTCTTTTTTTTTTTGGTACTGAGGTTTGAACTCAGGGCCTACACTTTGAGCCACTGCTCAGTCCTTTTTTGTGATTTTTTTTTTTTTTTTAGATAGGGTCTCGTGAACTGTTTTGCCTGGACCAACTTCGAACCTCGATCCTCCTGATCTCTGCCTCCTGAGTAGCTAGGATTACAGGTGTGAGCCACTGGGCCTGGCTTGGTAGGTTCCTGTTAAACTCATAGGCAAGGCTCTTGCTAAAATTGGATGATGTCAAGACAAACACCAAAAGTTAGGCCTAGTTGATGAAGCTTAGGGGAGCCTGAATAGAGTAATCAGGGGATGTATTTGTTAAGGGATGTATGTATTAATTTTCTGTTGCCTATAACACAATATCACAGACTGAATTATAGAGATTCAAGGTCAAGAGGCCACATCTAGTGATGTCTTTCTCACTGGCAGAGTCCTCGGGTGGCACAGAAAAGAAAGGGAACATGTGTTTATATATGTGTCTGTCTACTCTTCCTCTTCTTATAAGCCACTAGGATTCAATCATGAGGTTTCCAACCTAATGACCTTATCTAATCTTAATCACTTTCTAAAGCTAAATACCATATGTGGATGAAATTTCCACCCACTTTGGATCTCAAAGTGGACTTTAGATTCTAACATGACTTTCAAGAGGACAAACTATATTCAAGCCATGGCAGGGGAGAAATGAGGAACCCTCAGAGGCAGACCTGGACCAGTCTGGGGGCTGTGTCAATAGGCCACAGAGTGAGCTCAGCCTCCTGCAGTCACTAGGGTGAATCAGGTCCAGCTGGATCTGAGCCCCTGCTAAGTTCTGCACAGGTTGCCCCAGAACCACCTTCCAGGGGGTAGAGTCCCAGCCCTCACTCAGGCTTCTACTGATAAATGGCTGTTTGGTTGCTTGCTTACTGGCTCTGCCTCTCCTGAGAGTGGAGCTGCCACGCCTCTTTTGTGGGCCACTCTCCCTCAGAGATTGCTGTAAATGTGGATGGAGGTAGAAGGGTGAATCAGACAGGCCTGGATCAGATTCCTGCTCTACTACCACTAGCTTATGACCTTGGGCACGGCCTTTATGACTCTGTGCCTCAGTCTCCTCATCTGTAAAATGGGGATAATAATATTTGCATGACAGGGTTGTTGTGAGGATAAATGTTTGCTTGAAAGGTGCTTCCCCCTCCTCTGGCCACCCTTTTGCTTTTGGGGCTTGGATGCTAAAGCACAAAGGATTGGGTATTCCTCATCCCACAGGTCTGTGAAGCTTCTAGGGGCCCCAGAGACTCCAGAACCCCTAGGAATAAATGGCATAATCAAAATAGTAGTTTGGGATATAAAACCTGGGGGACACCATACCAGTGTTTGTAACTGCATTAGTCAATAACCAAAAGATGGAAACAACCCTATGTCCATTAATGGATAAGTGGATAAAGAAATGTGGTATGCCCATACAGTGGAATATTATTTGGCCTTAAAAAAGAATGAAATTCTATTACATTTAACAACACTGATGACCCTTGAGGATATTATGTTAAGTGAAAATAAGCCAGACACAAAAGAACAAACATTGTGTGATTCTACTCTAAGAATTACCTGGAAATGCCAAATTCACAGAGATAAAAAATAGATGGAGGCTGGGTGCCAGTGGCTCAGGCCTAAAATCCTAGTAGATGGAGACCAAGATCTGGAGGCTTGTGGTTCAAGGTCAGCCCAGACAAATAGCTCACTAGATCCCCATCTCCAAAATGACCAGAGCAAAATGGATTAGAGGCATGGGTTCAAATGGTAGAGTAGAGCACTTGCTTTGCATTTGCGAAGCCCTGACTTCAAACCTGAGTCCCACCAAAAGGCAAAAAAGAAAAAGAAAGTAGATGGACTGGAGCAATAACTCAGTGGAAGAGCATGTTCTTATTATTTGTGAGTTCCTAAGTTCAATCCCCAAAAATAAAATAAAAAAATAGTGGATTCCAGGGTCCACAGGGGTATAGAGTTTCAACTTAGAAAGATGGAAAAGTTCTGGAGATAGTGGTGATGGTTGTACAATAATGTAAAAATACTTAATGCCTTTGAACTGTACATTTAAGAATGGTTAAAGGTTGGGGATGTAGCTCAGTGGTAGTGTTTGCCTAGCATGCACAAGGGCATGACTTTGAACCCCAGCACTATCAAAAAAAAAACCCTTATAGCTGCTGGGGATGTGAATCAAGTGGTAGAGCACTTGCCTAGCAAGCTCAAGGCCCTGAATTTCATCCCCAGTGCCACAGAAAAAGCCCTTAAAATAGTAAATTTCAGGTTATGTACATTTTACCACCAACAAAACAAAACAAAAACTCTGGGACAGTCTGAGATATGCTGGGCTAGGTTTTAAGACAAACCAGAGAGTGAGGAGTGAAGATATAGGACCAAGACCTAAACAGATGGACAGTGAGCATGAGATGTGCTGTCTTCATGTCCTGGGGTGCACTTGAGACAATGAAGAAACAAGCCCAGGCAACTTTACCTCACTTCCCCTTGACTGGGAGTGGCCCCACCAAGCACAACTCAGGAAGGAGCAGGAAGCAATGCAGTGTTCCTCCCAAGACTCAAATTGAGACACTGTCCATTTCACCAAATCTTTTTTTTTTTTTTTTGGTGTTACTGGGGTTTGAACTCAGGGCCTCATGCTTGCTCGGTAGGCACTCTACCAGCCCTTTTTTGTGTTGGGTATTTTTAAAATAGGGTCTTGCAAATTATTTGCCCAAGCTTTCTTCAAACCAAGGTCCACCTGATCTCTGCCTCTTGTGTAGTGAGGATTAGAGGCATAAGTCACAGCACCTAGTATCTAACCAGTTTATAGATGGACAAATTGTGGATCAAGTCCACCTGTCTTTATTGAGGACTATCCCTGCAGTCAGCCTTGGAGGAGGAGTCTGGAGAAAAATGAGTGTGGGTGGGGGAGAAGATCTATGAAAAGCTTTCCTCCATGGTACTAATAATCTGCCCAGCACCTAAAGGCCAATGTGAATAGGCACAAGATTATGCAGGATGGATGGTAAATGACAAATGGGGTCCAATGTGGCAGGGGAGGTCTGTTGTGAACTTCCTGTAAGAAGGGGCTGGAGGGATTTTAAAGGGTAGGCGGAATTAGAGAAGGGAGAGAAGGGGTTAGAGAACTTAGAAAAGGGAGTGGGCACAGTGTAGCTATGAAAGAGCTTGGCCCACCCTGATTTAGATAGTGAGACATGGGGGTGCCACGGGATGTCAGGATGGACTGGGTGACACAGGGTCCCAAACAACAGGCTTACACTCCAACTGTGGTGTAGAAGTATTAGGGAGATTGGGTGGACAGGCCTCTTGAACCCAAACATGCCCAACGCCAGTCTCCCAGAGAGCCTAGGTGGTAGGGCAAGTGCTTCTGGCTCCTTCCTGCTTTACCACTCTTAGGACTGCTCCTGCTTCTCAGGACTCTGAGGCTGGTGCAGCCTCTCCCAGAAGGCCATCTTCTTTTCCTTGAGCTTCACACCCACTCTCGTGGTAAAATCCAGCTGCAGGTACTTTTCGTCCTTGTCAAAGCGTGGCCAGTAGGCCAGCTTCCCATCATTGGGGTTCCTGTACCAGAAGAGGATGAAGAGAGGGTTCTTTTCATGTCCCTTCACCCAGCTTCCTCCTCTCATCCTTCCCTCATTTACTTTTCCCTTGGGAGTTAGTGTCCAAGAGGCCTTTGTAGGAACTATGTTTAGGCAGATCTTTAAGAAAGTAGGAGACCCAGGTGTGGTGACATACACATGCCTATAATCACAGTATTCCAGAGGCTGAGGCAGGAGGATTCTGAGTTCTAGGCCAGCCTGGGTTGCATAGTGAGACCCTGTCAAGAAAGAAAGAAGGGAGGAAGGGAAGTAGGGTAGGAGAATGGCAGTGGGGGTGGAATGGGCTGGGGATATGTTTCCAGGGGGAACAATATGTACAAGATTTAAAGGTACAGAAGGCCAGGGCTTTGAAAGTTTGAAAGAGGCACAAGGAGGGGTTTGGGTAAAAAAATAGTGTGTGTGTGAAGAGGATGAATGTGCAAAAAGAATGACAAAGGAAAGATTCTTTTGTGCCAGGATTAGGGGCTTGGGACTTTATTCTCGGGGGACAGAGGAGCTGCAAAAGGGTTTTAAGCAGGCGAGTGACTTGTCAGATGATATTTCAGAAAGACACGTCTGCTTTGCAGGAGCAAATCCCTGAGTTCAACCCCCAGGTCCCACAATAAAATAAGTTAAATTAAAATAAAAAATAAAATATGAAATAGAGTCATAGGAGACGGGGGAGGAAAAGTGGGGATAGGAAAATAATCAGAAGCTTAGTTCAGATGCCACCTCCTCCTGGAGTTTTCTCTGTTACCCAGACAGGATCAAACACCTCAGTGCCCTCCAAGGCCCAGTGCCCAGTGTTCCTGCTGGTACGAGCACATTGTGCCTGATTCTGTTTTATGCCTGGAATTTTGTCTTCTTACAGTGAGTTGCCGGAGGATGGGGCACATGTCTGCAACAACCTTGAATTTCCAGCTTCCAGACTGGGGCTGGACATACAAGGGAGCATGGGTGATTGTTAAATGCTTGAGTAAGTGAAGAGTGTGGGTCTTGGGACATTTGGGATCTTGTGATTGGCTGGGAAAGGATGAGGGGGAAGGGCATTCCGGCCAGGCTGGCTGTGGGCTGTACAGTTCTTGTGGGACACACAGGGGCTAACATCTGAAGCTTCCAGCCTTTGGGTCTAGTGCTGCCCAGATGTGTCAGGGCCAGACTCACCCTGTGCGGGCAAAATTGGCCCAGTATTTCATTATCCGGAGGCTGAGTTCTTTCTCCTCGCCTGTGGACCGGCCTGGGAATAAAACAGGATGTGGCATTTGGTACAAAGCAGGGATGCTGACCTCCCACTCTGTAGACTTCCACTTGGTAATGCATCCCAGACTAGGGACTAGCTCTCTGTGGCCTGCCAAAGCAGCAGGAGGGGTCTGCACACACAGCTGGGGAAACTGGACACCCAGCGTGTGGGGTGTGTGTGTGTGTGGTAGTAAATTAGCACCTCTGGAGAAGGGGCTCCCAAAGAGGAAATGGATCTCGTCCCCATGGTCTGCCCCATCTGTGCGAGGTTTGATAATTATGCCAGAGGGAGCATGGCGCTCAAACTCATACAGGAAGACAGGAAAACCAGCATCTGTGAAGAGAGAAATAGAAGAGGGCTGCAAGAAAAGCCCAACCTGAGCTTCCATTCACTCGATGTGTCCCACCCACCTGCAGCAAGCAGAGAAACCTGCAGCAAGCAGAGAAAAGAGCTTTGGCTTGAGTCCAGGGAACTGATTTGAATCTTGTCTGTGCTATTAATTAGATGTGTGCTCCTAGGCAAATCACTCAACCTCTCTGAGATGCAATTCCTCATTTACGGGGAGGGGGGCGGAGATTATGGCATGGATCATGGAAACTTTTTTTCCCTCTTCTGAATTTTCTGTTCTTGGCCTGGCATTTAAGGGTCTTCAGTATCTTCCCTCTCTAGTTCCACCTTTGACTTCACCCACATGTTTCCAAACCCCAGGTCAGTCTGGGCAAGACTTTCAAGTTATCCCTAAGCCTGTTCTCTAAGCCAGGAAGCCTCCTCTGCCACCCTAGCTTTTCCTTCTACGTTGGTTGAGGTCCTACCCTTGACCCTTCCTCTTGCATAGTTGATGACTTAGGACCTCTTTTTGTTGTTGTTGTCATTGTTTTGAGACAGGGTCTTGTTGTGTATTTCAGGCTGGCCAGGAACTCTTGATCCTCCTGTCTCAGCTTCCCAAGTGCTGGGATTATAGACATGGGTCACCACAGCAGGCTCTCTTGCTGCCTCCTTTCCGTTTTTGTTTCATTTTGTTTTGGTAGGACTGGGGTTCGAACTCATGCCTTCAGGCTTGCAAAGCAGATGCTCTACCACTTGAGCTACACATCCTGTCCTCTCACTGCCTCTTTTGTGGCATTTTGGAATCCTGTACCAGCCCAGAAGTGCAGAGAGGGCAGGGGGAGCAGTTGGTAAGCACCAGAAAGCAGCACAGCTAGAGAGTGCATGGGGCCAGTGTGGTCACTCTTGGGGAGTCCCCATACCCCGATGGTAGCGGGCGGTTTGCAGTGTGGTGTATAGGAAAGTGCCATCTCCAGCCAGGTCCATCATGTGGTTTCGGACTATCCTCCAGTCGTGCATATCGATGTCACTCAGGTACTCCTCCACCAGGAGTGGGATCTGCTCCTTAGTGATATTCTGGGCCAGGAGGCCAGACCCACTCTGAGGCCTGCTATACCACCTGGGGTGGGCACACCAGTGACTTGGACTTCAGTTCCCCAGGAATTTTGGGAAAGGGGAGCATTTGAGTTCAGCAGATTCTTAACCCTGTTTTTGCTGCATGAGAGCTGCCTCCCATGACCCTGAGGTTGCCTTGGGACCCTGCCCATTAGCAGCCATCTGATCCCATGTCAAACCCCTTTGGGGCCCTCCAAAAGGGTCTCCAAGGGGGCTCAGAAGATACTAGGTTAAAAAAAGAGTGTGTGGGGGTATACATCCTGTTCAAACTGAGCACCCCTGCCAGCCTGGCCCCTCACCAAGAACACGCTGGTACTCCACAGCAGCCTGGTAAGGACTTCTTTTTTCATTACACGTTTATTTTTCGGGAACTTCATGAGCTGCTCACAAGACAAGGTCCCAGGTGTGCGTTAGACCTGAGGTCTTGCCCATCTAAATGGAGAATTCTCAGACAGAACACATGATCCAGGAAAGGCCCGTGACCCTGTCCTGCCCTCCTGTCTATCACTGTCACTTGGTATAGAGCTGAAGAATGGGCTAGGAGGGCCCATTCTGAGCAGGGGCAGCTCCCTGACCCAGAAGTAAAGGAGGGCCCTAGGATTTATAGTTGCCTGGAGGTTCAAAGATGGATGTTATAACCCATTTAAAATATGATCTAAGGGTTTTAGGGCTCCCAGGACCCCAAGAGGCTACACTTCTTCCTGTTCCCCTCCATCATTCCTGGTCCCCTCTCTCTGCACAGAGAATGCAAGCACTTGTGCATTCTCAGAGAGGCTTCTGGGATCTGACCTGCATTGCCCAAGAGGGACCCTCTTCTACCCCACTGTGATAAGCACACTTCCCACTTACTTACATAAGGCAAGACCCAACTGAATTCCAGACTGTTGACACCTAGAAGGTAGGGCACAGGTGAAACCTGCCGCCTGGTCAGGAGTGTCACAGGGTCATCAGGGAACACCACACCATCCACCACTGGGCTCAGGAACCACGTAATCTGTAAGACCATTTCCAGCCAGTTATCCTACATATCCTCTGGGGTGCCCTTAACCTTGAGTGTACAGCTTAACAGGTTCTCCTCTGGGGGCTGCATTAGCTAGGCTCTTTGTGGGGAAAAATGGGGACTGGTCATGGGAACCCCTGGGAAGGTGAATGTGGGAGCAGAACAGGACAGATAGGGCCAGGCTATTCAGACTTAGGATGGTTTTCTCTAGGTATTTATATAGCTCACTCTCTTATCTCTTGAAAATCTGCAAAATATCACTTTAATGAAGCCTTCACTATCCTTTCTACTTAAAATTCTATCTCTCCAGCCAGGCACTGATGGCTCATGCCTGTAGTCCTAGTTAGAGGCAAAGATCAGGAGGATCACGGTTCAAAATCAACCCGTGCAGGTAGTTCAAGAGATCCTATCTTGAAAATACTTAACACAAAAAAGGGAAAAAAGGGTTGATAAAGTGGATCAAGTGGTACAGCAGCAGCCTAGCAAGCATGAGGCTCTGAGTTCAAACCCCAGTACCAAAAAAAAAAAAAAAACCAAAAACCCAAAAAACAAACTATCCTTCCCACCATGCCTGACCCCCCCTTACCTTCTTCATTTGTTGATATTCACTTATAACCTAAGGAGGTGAATAATTTATTTATAGGGCTCTCTCCATTCTCTCTCTCAGTTCCATTAGGGAAGAGATTTTGGCCTGAACAGTTCCTTGAATATCTTGAGTGCCTGGTACACAATAAGTGTTCAATAAATACTGAAATTGCTCACCTCTTGCGGTTCTTTCTGGGAGTTCAGGTGGAAGAAGCTCTGTGAGAGACAGGAGGAGATTGGAGCTTTTTAAAAAAGTCTCCCCAATATCCTCTTAAGGCAGGTTCCCTGGGGGAAGTCTATGGGGATGGCTGCAGCCTGCAGGCAGTCAGGTCAAGCAACTGGAATGTTCTACCTACCATTCGCTTAGACACACGCATCACCTGGGCCCCTGATAGATCCCTCATACAGTCTACCATGATCCTTGTGCTGTTGTGGTTGCAGCCAGCCAGGTAAGCAACCTTCTGTAGAGAGAAGAGGGGCTCAGGGATGCCTCCATCCTGCCCCTCTTGCTGAGTCCTGGGGGAGGAGAGATACCCACCTTGGCCACTTTCTGTGGATCATGAGTGATGAAGACTTTGAGTAATGCGGTGCCACTCTGGGAAATGGCCTTATGGAAGAGACCCCGGGCTAGGGGTGACATCATCTGTAGAGGTGGGGAACAGGGCACCCATAAAATGAACACGTCTGGCCGTTGCTGAACAGCCTGAAGGGAGTTAAGGAAGGTGATCAATTGCGAGGGAGCCAGAGTCCTGCCTTCCTGCCTCTGGTCTGCGCAGTGGCTCTACTTGGCAGGAGCGGTATTTTTGGATGGGTGAGGATAGGTCTTCTGTCAGGAATGTTAATGTACACACAAATCTGCCTGTTCAGTGAAGGATTCAGTTGTGGGAACATGTGTTTGTGCTGGTCCATCTGGGCATCACACTCACCAGTCCCGAGACACACATAGCCCCCGACGACTGGCCAAACAGGGTCACGCTGTTCGGGTCTCCACCAAAGGCTTCAATGTTCTCCTGCACCCAGCGCAGAGCCGCCACCTGGTCCAGCATCCCCCAGTTTCCGCGGGCCTGGCTGTCGCCGGTGCTAGGCACGCAGGGTTCATTATCAGTGTCCCAAACTTGATGGCGGGATGCAGAGGGTTCCCAATCCACCTTGACTTACCTTTCTAAGACCCAGTCTTGGGAACCACACCGTTTCCTTAAGAGTTAGGCTCACCCTACTGAGATGTATTGAGCATTGATCTCCTCCACTAAGCATCAGGCCCCGCCCCTGCCACCCTCTTCTTTTGGCCCACGCCACGCCCCTTCCACCAGTCTCCGCCTCCTCCATCCAAAGCCAAGGAGACTCCGCCCTTGGTCCCGCCCACCTTAGGAAGCCAAAGATGCCGAGTCTGTGCTGCAGAACCACTATCACCACTTTCTCGTGGGCAGACAACTCCGAGCCGTCGTAGGTGGAAGCGGCGCCGATGAGGAAGGCGCCTCCCGGAAACCAGACCATCACCTGGAAAAGGAAGATCGCCGAGGCCTGAGCTGGGCAGTGGGGTGACAGAATGAGACGGCAAATAATGGAAGACAAAGTACTCACCGGCAGCAGAGGGTCCCCACCAGCGCGTATTGGCGCGTACACGTTCAGGTACAGGCAGTCCTCACTGAAGCGCAGCCACTTGTACTGTTTCCACGAGTTTAAGTAAATGGAGGTTACCTGACCCCAGAACTCTTGAAGGCACCTGCGGGCACGGTGTGAGTTTGGACTCAACAGTGGCAGTGGGGAGAATGGTTTCAACCCCGAGTTGTCAATGAGGGAAGAGAACCCAAAGCAAAATCCAGTTTCTTAATGTGTCTGTGTGTGTACATGCTCCACGTGTCCCAGAGGCCTCCACTAGCTCTGGGGTCCAGGATTGGGAGGCAGGACCCATCCCTCTGTTTTGCGTCTTGCCTCTCCCTACTTGAGGTCTGCCTGGGACATGGTCCTCTGCTCTTGTTGGAGACTGTCGGTGCTTCCCTGGGGCACTTCCCTGTCTTTCATGTTCCACTCTCCCCTCAGCCTCCCTCTACCTCCCAAACAGCTCTGTAACACACTGTGAAAGTCCATCGTGTCTCTGGCCTGGACACTGACCCAGCCTTTTCACTTTCCTTCTTCAGTTCATTTTCCACACTCTGGCCACAGGGAGTGGTAAAAAAAAAAAAAAAAAATCTGACTATCTCGTTCCCTTTCTTAAAACCTTCCCTGGCAACTCACTGCCCTCAGACAAAGTTAGGTGTGCCCAAACTGATCCAGGCCCTCCTTTCAGCCAGCCATCTCCTTTCCAGGTTCCTTTTGCTCCAGATACATATAGATGCTTGCCTCCCACCTCCAAGCCCCTGTGTCTCTGTCCGCTCTGCCTAATGCCTTCTGCCCTGCCCAGCAACCTCCTACTCAAATTTAAGGCTGGCTCAAGTGGTGTCCCCTCTGTGGGGCACTTCCCTTTCTGTGTCCCCCAAAGCTCTGTTCGCTCCTGACTGTAGTGTTGGTTAATTATTTCAGTTGACTGGTTTTCTCCTCAGGTGACCAAGCAATCCCTGAAGTGGCCATGAATTCATCTGAGAGTCAGATAACCCCTTTCAACAGTCCTTCCCACCAACTCTTCAGTCTGCCTTACCCAAAACTATCTTCTCCTACCCAGCTTCCCCAGCAACTATCCTAGCTCTCTTTCCCTTAGGCACATCTTTTCAACTGGTTATCTTCCCTTCCCTCTAGCCAGCTTCTCTAAGGTCACCAGCAGACAGACATCTTTATCACTACAGAGCATCTTTGGGCTTCTTTGGTTGACCTTTCTTTCTTTTTTTTTTTTTTTTGTGATGGGGATCACACTCGGGACCTTGGGCATGCTAGGCAAGCTCTCCACCTCTGATCAATATCCTGAGTTCCTTGCTTGATTTCTTGGCATCAGTAATGTTGGTGTTAAGGTGGTGTGGTGTCCAACAAACCACATCAGCCTCTCACCAGGAAAGCCAAGGCTGTTATAGCCAAGAACTGGGGTTATGAACAGCTGAGGCTTCTGTCTCCATCCTACCACCCAAGCCACTCCTGTCATGGTCACCAGTGACTTACATCTTGCTAAATTCTTGTTATTGCCTTATTTGCCCTGGCAGCCCTCAATGTGGTTGACCATATTCCCCTCCATTCTTGAACAGCATTCCCTGTCTAGGTTTCTATAACTCCCTGCTCCCCCGATTTTCCTGCTACCTCCTTGGTGGCTCCTCCTCTCAGGTCTAAGTAAGTGCTCAGGCCTTAATGATTGGTTCTCTCTCAGGCCTCAACCCTTGGTTCGTTCTCTCTCTCTCTCTCTCTCTCCACTGTCTTGCCATGTAGCCCAGACTGGCCTTCCTGAGTGCTAGGATTACAAGTATGTGCCACCACACCCAGAAGCCAAATGAGCTCTTGTTTTGCCCAAACTTGCTCTTTCCCTAGTCTTTCCCATTTTGGGAAGTAGTAGCCCTATTTTCTTAATTGCTCTGGCCAAAAAGTAGTCATTATCCATGGTTCTGAAGAATTTCTTCACTTGTGACTCACATCCAATTCTCCAGTAAATCGCATCAACTTTACCTCTGAGATCAGTCTAGAATCTGACTGATTCCTCCTGCCTTTCCTGTAACTACACTGGTGGAAGCCACCATTTTTGCAACAGCCTCCCCTCTCCCTGCTCCCCCTTAACCACCACTCCATAGGCTGTTTGTTCTAAGCAATCCACAAAATCTTACACCTCTCTGTCAGTGTTCTAAACAGCCTTTGTCTGATAGCTTATGGCTGTTGTTACAACAACTGACACCCAGATTTCTATGCAATGGAACATAACCTGTAAACCCAGTCTTCAGGAGTCTAACAATGATCACCCCATGTTCTGTCACTGGAGCTAGAGGCTCCAAATAATAGTCACAGAATATTCAGAATGCCAAGGATTTGCTCCATAACAGCCAGTGTTTTAATTAACATCCTGGTATTCTGGTAAGAGTTGATAATTTTTTTATGATACTGGGGTTTGAACTTGGGGTCATGTGCTTGCTACTCAGGCACTCTCCCACTTGAGCCACCCCACCAGCCCATCTTTTCTTTCTTTTTTTATTTCAATGCTGTGAATCGAATCCAGGTCTCATACATGCTAAGCATGTATGTTACTACTATACCACTGAACTATACCCCAGCTCAATAGTTGATCATATTTTACCAGTGGAGCTCTTCTTAACAACTAGACATCTAAGTTGTAGATTTTTAAAAAAATATCAGCTGACACCCAGGTTCTCACAATAGACATTTTTCTAAGCCCTGTGGTTTAACCAACTGATGCTGCACATTGTTAATGATTGCCACAGAATGTTCTGGACAGTGGATTACTCAATGATCTGAATAAATATATTTGTTCTGGGTAAACTTCCAAGCCCATTGCTTTAGAGGGCAATCATTGTCCCAGTCTTGCTGTATGACTCAGGGCTTAAATCCTGCTGGAGGTGGCTGGCTATAAGACACTGAGACTTCAAAACTGAAACTGAAACTGAGCCTATGTGTTCTTTATCTTGGAGCACCCTCTGCAGGCAAGGGCTGGCAGTCTTGTGGATTTGTTTGATGGCTCAAGTCCCAAGAGAACTCAGGGCTCACTCAGGGGAGTGGGGTGTGCATAAGCTCAGCTCCTCAGACACCTTTAGAAAACTCACCTCCCCTGCAGGTCCTGGACCACATCCAGTGACCACTTCCCTATTGCCTGAATAGTATTTGGGCCAATCACCTCATCATATATATTTGGAAACTGAGCCTCAGAATGGGACCCAGGACTGCCTGTGGACACACAGTATGTTCTTCTCAGCGAGTTATTCAAAGCCTCACCAGAGGCAAGCATAAGTCCACTGCCCCCCTCAGGTCTATCCACTTCCCAGCTCATATTCCTCTGGCTCTTACGCAGGTGGGTAGGTGGTGGCATCTCTGATTCCTGTCCAGGGCTGCAAGGCTCAGGAGGAGCAAACCTGCGGGCACCCACAGGAGGTCTGGAGAAGGGGACTCCTAGGAAGACATGGATGGGCGTCTTCCCCACATGCAACTGCTTTCCTTGGAGAGTCCCATATTTGGTGACCACTAGAGGCTCCTTGATGTGCAAAGTACCTAAGAAGAGAAGAGAGAAGGGCCACCCTAGCTGAGCCACTCTATCACCAACTTTAGTGACAGATAGGACTGTCCCAACTGCAGTGGGGACCATTTGCTAGTTTTCTTTTCTTCTTTTCTTTCTCTTCTTTATCTCCCCCTCTCTCTCTTTCTCTTGATCTTGTTATGTGGCCCAAAATGGCCTTGAACTGCAGATTTTCTGCCTCAACCTCCTGAGTGCTGGAATTACAGGTATAGGCCACTTTGCCTGCCCAGTTGCTGCTTTTCTTGACAGTCATAAAGCTTGAAGTTTTTCCTAACAATTGTGTATCTGTCCACTTGTGGTTCTGTCAGATGTTTTCTTTCATTTTTTAAGATTTCAAAACCATGTTGGTTTGTACATAAAAATTCATGTCTGTTATGTGAACTCTTTGTGTCATTTAATGTCAGTATGTGTGTTACTTTGATTTCTGTTTATCTGGTGCACCTCTTTTTTCTTTTTTTCAGTACTTTTTTTTCATTACTGGGATTTGAATTCAGGGCCTACACCTTGAGTGACTCCACCAGCCCTTTTTTGTTTTGTTTTTTTGAGGTTCTCTTGAACTATTTTTTCCAGGCTGGCTTTGAACCATGATCCTCCTGATCTCTGCCTTCAGAATAGCTAGTATTATAGGCATGAGCCACCAGTGCCCAGCTAGTACTGGGGTTTGAACTCAGGGCCTCATACTCACTAGGCAGGTGCTCTATGGTTGAGCTACTCTGCCAGCCCTGCATCTCTTTTCTTGTTGCTAACATTTGCCTGACTTATTTCTGGAAAGGAATCACCCCCCCCCCACACTTGCTCATATACACACTAACCTCACTTGTATGCTGGAGCTGGTGGCACATCCCATAATCCTAGCACTCAGGAGGCTGAAGCAGGAGGATTACAAGTTTGAGGTCAGTCTAGGTTACATAGAAAGACACTATCTCAGAAAACAGAAAGAACAACAAAAATATTCATAAGAGCCAGGTGCCTGTGGCTCACTCCTGTAATCCTAGCTACTCAGGAGGCAGAGATAGATCAGGAGGATCCTGGTTCAAAGCCAGCACAGGCAAATAGTTTGTGAGATCCTACCTCGAAAAAACCCATCACATAAAAGGGCTGGTGGAGTGCTCAAGGTATAGGCCCTGAGTTCAAGCCCCAGTACCACCAAAAAAAATTCATATGTGCAAATTTGTACATACACAGATGTACATGAGCACAGCTCAACTGCAAAGAAACATGCAGCAATACAATAGTCAAATGCACACACATACATACATATGCACAGATGTAAGTTATATATAGGTTATCAGGCATCCATACTTAGCATAAATTCACTTATCACATACTGTGTGCACACACACACGCTTACATATACATGGCACAAGTACACCATAACTCTTGGAATAGCTATGAAATAGACCAAGTTGGATCCAGCTCTCTGCTTATGGGTACATCCTCCTCTTCTAGGCTCTCATCCTGCCCCACTATTACTGCCAAGAGTTGGTGAGGCCTCATATCCATTGTCCTTTCCTGAAGTGCCCTTCTTCATTTTCCCCCCTCCTTCCTTATCAAATTGTGCTCAGAAAGAAATATAGAATGTTTTTGCTCACATGTGGCATCTAGACCTAAGAAAATAATATGACATGATTGCAGCAGAAGGAGGAATATGATAGAAGTACATTGTATATGTAGGAAAATATAATGAACCTACTAAAAGCTACTAAGGTAGGTGAGAAAGGAAGGGGGCCTACAAAAGTGTAATATAGATAGGGTGAATTTGATCAAAGTATATTATATACATGCATGTAAATATCATAATGAAATTCCTTTGTAAATTAATGTATACTAATAAAAAATTTTAAAACCCCAGAATTTTTAGCTGTAGATGTCACATGCCTGTAACCTCAGCACTCAGGAAACTGAGACAGGAGGATTAGAGTTCAAGGCCAGCCTGGACTACATAGTGAGACCCTATTCAACAAACAAATAAATAAGCAGGGTGCTGATGATACATGCCTGTAATCCTAGCTACTCGGAGGCAGAAATCAGGAGGCTCGAGATTCAAAGATAGCCAGGGCAAATAGTTTGCAAGATCCTATCTTGAAAACACCCGTCACAAAAAAGGGCTAGAAGAGTGGCTCAACTGGTAGAGTGCCTGCCTAGCAAGTCTGAGGCCCTGAGTTCAAACCCCAGTACCACTCAAAACAAGCAAGCAAGCAAACAAACCATAATTGTTCTGCGCACTTGTCCTTTGGAGCTCATTCTGCAAAGTGACAGAACACAAACATGATCCAAGTAATTATTGAACCTGGTTGGGTATCAGTACCATTTGAAGATCTTTGTTAAAATTGATTCCCAGGACCCACGTGCAAGATTGCAAATCTCTCTAGGAGATTTTTTTTTTTATGATACTGGGTCTTCCTACTTGCTCTGTGAGTTCCAGGCCTCCACCTCACAATCCTTCCTCCTTGGTCTCCCCACTAGCTCCAATTACAGGCGCACACACTTGACTTGCCACTGGCTTTTGGAACAGCATTTGAAATGAAATTGGTGTGATAGAGCACACTCTCACAATCCCAGCTGCAGGTGGCCTAAAATATCTTCCTTCCCAGGAAGACGTGCCCAAGTCTTCCTAGGTCTTTCATAAGCAACATCTGGGTAGAGAGGAGTGACTGAAATGCTGGCACTTTGGTCATGGAGGCAGGTCAGTGGACAAGGGACCATCTCAAGCCTCCTGTGTGTGTGCAGCCCTTTGCACTTTATAAAGCCCCATCATGTGGGCTTTTCACTTGCCCTGGGAGAAGGAGGGGGAGTCCTGAAGGCCCAGAGAGGGGCATTGACCACCTGTGTTCTTATAGACAGAGCCAGGATGCTCTGCTCTATCATTTTACCCAGATTTGTCCTAAATGTAGGGGCCACTCATGACAGAATAGCCAACAGCTATGATTTATGGATTCCTAATTTTAGCCTGGTTTTATATTATCTTCCCTCCCCTTTTGCAAAACTTACTAGGGCAAATCATTCTACATAAATGTGGAAATAGAAGCTCAAAGAAGTGTTAATTTGCCCAAGGTCCTACCTGGAGTATCTCCAAACTGCTATAACCCATGCTGTTTGTCTCTGCAGCCTCTGAGGGGCGCCTCACCAGGTGGTTCTAGACTCCTGAACTAGAGTTGCTCTGGTGGGTCCTGATCCCAGCTCTGCCACCCAGAGGCATCATGGAAGGAACACTAACGGGAGACGGTGTTCCACTTCACCAGCAGCCATAAAGTGCTAAGGAAAGCCTGGAGTTACCGCTGCCACCTGGAAAACTTAAAAATGAGGGCATCCAATTCTGGTGAAGATACAGTGCAAAGGACATTCATGCTGTTGGTGGAGGATAAATTGATACAATGCCTTGGGACAATAAATTGGCAAAATATACAAAAAGCCACACAATGTTCACATGCTTTGATTCAGTAATTTTACTTCTGTGTCTTTCCTGTATGAAACAGCCAGAAACAAAGATGCTGCTGGACCTTGAACCTGAGTGGACAATGGAAATAGCACTTATATCTGAGACCAAGCAAAGTAAATATAACCATACAATCATACAAACTGCCTAAAATAAGAATTTAAGTGGCTGGGCACCAATGGCTCACACCTGTAATCTTAGCTACTCAGAAGGCAGATATCAGGAGGATCACTGTTTTGAAACCAGCCTGGGCAAATAGTTCACAAGACCTTTTCTTGAAAATATCCAACACAAAAAAGGGCTGGCTGAGCAGCTCAAGTGGTAGAGCATGAGGCCTTCCCGTGCTCAAGCCAAAAAAAGAATTTAAATGAAGAGCAGATTATAAAATTATATACATGGTAACATCACAGCTATGTATAATGATACCACAAAAAGACAAAAGAAAATGCTGCATGGGGTGAGGAGGAGGGTGAGGGGGAGAGTTGATGGGGGTGATGTAACTAATGTACAATATAAGCCTAACTGGAATTTTCACTATGAATCCCCCCTGTACAATGAATATATCCTAATAAAAATTTTAAAAAAGAAAAAAAATGCTGCAAAATGCTAAAAGCAGTGTTAGCAAAGCTTTCCTCAAATTAAAAAAAAAAACGTATTCATATAGGCAAAACTAATTTACAATACAGTTCAAGAATAGTAGTAACTTTGAAGCTATTGACTGGAAAGTGGTACATGGGATGATGGGAATGTTCTAGATCTTGATCTCAATGGTAGTTACATTAATGTAACATTATAATATAGTATAATGTAATATAATTTAATTGTAATAGTGAGATATGTGCATCTTGTATATATCTTAGCCCTCAATAAGCTTTTGTTAATGTTCTATATTGGTTTTTTGGAGGGAGAACTGAGGTTTAAACTCAAGCCCTTGAGCTTATTAGTCAGGCACTCTACCACCTGAGCCATGCCCCAGATCTGTTTTGTTTTCAGTTTTTCAGACAGGTCCCACGATTTTGCTCCAAATGCCTCAGACTCTGATCCTTCTACCTCTGCTCTTGAGTAGCTGGGATTATAGGCATGAACCACCTTGCTTGGCTCTGCTGTATTATTTTCAAAAAGTATAGTACTAATTTTAAAGAGATAGACATCATTGGGGAGAAAGGCACAGGTTTCTTTCTTCTTCTTTTTTTTTTTTTTTTGCAGTACTGAGATTTGAACTCTGGGTTTTATGCTTGCTAAGCAGGTGTTCTACCACTTGAGCCATTCTACAGCCCAAGAAAGGCTCAGGTGGTACAGAGGTCCATGTAGGGAGAGGGAGGCAGAAGCAGGAAGGCAGGAAGGAGGGAAAGAAGGAAGGACATGGTTATGCCATGTTTTCAGGTCCTCTCACTGGTCCTGGGAGGCAGGAGATGTACTCCTTCCCGGCTTTGCAGAGCAGACCTTGGGCTCAGAGAGGTCAGTGGATTTGTTCAGACTTCCAGCTGGCAGTGAATTAGTGCCCTGAAGTGCCACCCCTCCATCAACTCAAGACCTTGTCTATGTGCCGCTGTCCCACTGTTTCCAGGTGAGGCTGAGCTGGAGCCTGACACTGTCAGGAAGGTTTGAGGTCTTTACCCAGTGTTGCCTGCAGTGCGAGCCACAGGGTGAGGCTCCAAGTGTAGAATCCTCCACTCAATGCTCTGGCCACCTTCTGCCACGACTGGAGTGACATCAACACTGAGAGTGTTAGATGGTAGTTGTGACCACAGTCGGTCCCGCTTTTATCTTCTCTGTCCCATACAGCCAGGTGCCTGGGACCTGGAGAGTATGCCCAGTGCTGACCAGCCCAAGTCTTGTCTCTGCCTTGGGGTGGACAAGATGACACTAGAGTAGACTGGTCTTCAACCCAAACTGGCCTGCCTGCAAATCCTTGCCCAGTTTGCTCACTTGCAATGGCCTTTTAATGTTGGGCTAGTGCAAGTCAAGCTCCAGCACAACAGTAGATGCAAGACTGGATGGAGCAGAACACTGAGTTCCTTAGGCTACCCTAAGCTCCCAGGTTTCTTCTCTGTGAATTTAAGAGCTTGGGCCCTCCCAGTTCCCCCTCGTCTCGTTCAGCCCTCTTCAACAGGCCTCCCCGCCCAATTCTCAGTCAAGGCTCACCAGCAGAGCAGTAGGCTCTGTGCCAGGAACAGGTAGTTATGTGGTGATTGCCCCACAGGTACCAGAAGCAACCATGGAAGAGGGGTCCACAGAGGGTCATCCGTGAGCCCAGGGAGGGGACTGAAAGGGAAGGATCTCTAAGAAAAGCAACCTAACATCAAGTAAAAGGGTGGAGGAGGGCGTTGCCCGGTAAGGAAGATCCTGCCTGAAATTTGAGCTTCACAGGCAAATCTGGGTGGTGAAAGGAAAGAAGCAATTCTATAAAAAGTATATAAAACTGCTTTCTGCTAAGAAACACTGACTCCTCACCTGGCCCACATGTTCCACTATAAAGCTGGAGAAAAGCTTGGCATTCCGGCCTCCATTTTGCCATATAGTCTGTTGCTTTAAGTCCTCTCTCCTTGGGTTCCAGAAAGACAGGACGACCAATGAACATTCTTTTGACAAGGAACCAAAACTATCCCCACCCCAGCCTTTTCAAGGACGAGAACCATTCACCAAATGAGGACAATACCTACAATGAGGAGGCTGCACCCTGGAGCAGCAGGAATCATCTCTGAGAACCAGAGTGCTCCCCTCGAGTGGTGACAGCTATGACAATTCTCTAGAACTCCATGCAGAACCAGAACTGAAATAAAATGATCAACCAGGTCATACTTTTGTCTAGGACAAAGTATCTTTCCCTCTGCCCAATTCTTCCTCATATCGTACCCAAAGTGGCTGAAGTGCTTACTTTGCTTCTTCCTAAGGTGTGCCTGTGCCTCATTAATAAACCTATCTCTGCCCTTCACCACTGCGCATCTCTTTATTTGGTGTATTGGTGCAAGTATCCAGATTTAACATGTTGGAAACTCCTGAGGCTGGCCTCTGGCCTAGAACTCTAGTTACACATTCATCTTAATTCAAAGATGAGGATGCTTTCTTCCCAGCCCTCAACAAAGCCTGGGGTCCTGGCCACCTTTTGTTTCTTTGTGGTGGGACTGGAGTTGAACTCAGGGCTTCACACTTGGAAAGCAGGCACTCTACTGTTTGAGCCACGCCTCCAGTAAATTTTCCCTGGTTATTTGGAGATGGTGGGGTCTCATGAACTATTTGCCCAGGCTGGCCTTGAACCATGATCCTCTTGATCTCAGCTTCCCAAGTAGCTAGGATGCAGTGTGATCCTACACCTAGCCTGGCCCACTTGGGAATAGGAGTCTGGGGGCTGCTGTGCTGGAGGGTAGAAGCAGTGGAGAGGTTCTTACTGAACCCTGGAGTCCTGTTCCGTAGGCCTGCTGGGTGTGTGTGAGGGGTTTGAAGCACAAGGCCAGTTCTGTGAGTTCTTAGAAATGCCCTGTGATCCTTCTTCAATCTCAAGGAACATGGTGTCCACTGTCCAACCCCTGCTGCCTGGGCTCTAGATCTCTGTAAGGAAGACCAGGGATGGAACCTACAAAGTCAAAACAGGCAGTCCTTCAGCCTGGTGTGTGGTGGCCCACTGACTACAGCCCCCTCCCCACCCACAATGGCAGGCTAGGGCATCTGTGTGGGTGGCACCAGCTCTGGTTGACTGTACCTTCCAAAGTGGGCAGCATCACTTGTCCTCCCCATGGTCTCATGAGAAAAATGCCCATGGACTTGAGCGGAAGGAAGTGTGGTGAGGATTCAGCAGCTCCCTCCAACAAAAATCCTCCCCCCAACTCTTCCCCAGCCAAACTCTCTAATTCCTTTTCCAGTCTTGAATGGCCAGGGGCCCAGGAATTATGCATTCAGTTCTCAGGTCATTTTCTAGAAGATCCTCATGTCTGATGTGACTTGGAGATTCTATGTTTCTGTAACTGGGGGTCTTTAATGCACATCAGTGTCCTCTCCATTAGGCCCTTCCTGATGGCAAAATAGTCTTTATCTGATGGCAAGTGTGTGAGTGATGCAACCTCTCCTAAAGTTATCAAATGATATGGAGCAAGAGCCTTAAAACTGTGCATCCTTTGACCGAGTCTGAGAGACTGTCCAAAATACACAAAAACATGTTGACAACAGCCTCACCCCCACACAACAGAGCGGATGGGGAAGAAGGGATGCTACACTTATGGATTATAACAAGCTTGGGAGCTGGTAATGTGTTCCACAAGTTTCTATCTCAGCAGCAGGCTTAGTGATGGGTTCTGAGTCAGGCAGCCTGGGTTTGAATCCTAGCTCTGTCAAGAATTAGCTGTGTGTGTGGAGTTGCTCAAGTGGTACAGCACCTACCTAGCAAGTGTGAGACCCTGAGTTCAAGCCCCAGTGCTGCCAAAACCAAAAAAAACCCCACAAAACTAGCTGTGTGAAAGAGAATTACAAACACCTGAAGAAAGAGATCAAGGAAGACTACAGAAGATGGAAAGATCTCCGGGCTCATGGATCAGTAGAATCATCATAGTAAAAATGGCTATAACTACAGAAAGCAATCTATATGTTTAATGTAATTCCCATCAAAATCCCAATGACTTTCACCATAGAGATTGAAAAATCTACCCTAAAGTTCATTTGGAAACACAAAAGACCATGAATAGCCAAGGCAATACTCAGTCAAAAGAACAATGCAGGAGGTATCACAATACCTGACTTCAAACTATATTACAAAGCAATAGCAATAAAAACAGCATGGTACTGGCACAAAAACAGACATGAAGACCAGTGGAACAGAATAGAGGACCCAGATATGAAGCCACACAATTATACCCACCTCATTTTGACAAAGTTGTCAAAAAATATATGATGGAGAAAAGACAGTCTCTTCAACAAATGTTGCTGGGAAAAGTGGTTACCCGTCTGCAAGAAACTGAAACTAGATCCATATCTATCACCCTGTACTAATATCAACTCAAAATGGATCAAGGACCTAAATATCAGACCCAAAACTCTGAAGTTAGTACAGGAAGGAGCAGGAAACACTCTGGAGCTAATAGGTATAGGCAAAGACTTCCTCAATAGAACCCCAGCAGCCCAGCAACTAAGAGGATAAATAAATGGGACTTCATAAAATTAAAAAGCTTCTGCACGACAAAAGAAATGGTCTCTAAACTGAAAAGACCACCCGCAGAGTGGGAGAAAATATTTGCCAGCTACACATCAGACAAGGGACTGATAACCAGAATATACAGGGAACTTAAGAAACTAAAATTCCCCTAAAATCAATGAACCAATTAAGAAATGGGCAACTAAACTAAATAGAGCTTTTTCAAAAGAAGAAATTCAAGTGGCCAAAAACACATGAAAAAATGCTCACCATCTCTGGCCATAAAGGAAATGCAAATCAAAACCTCACTAAGATTCAACCTCAACCCGTTAGAATAGCCATCGTCAAAAACACCACTAACAACACGTGTTGGCGAGGATGTGGGGAAAAAGGAACCCTAATCCACTGCTGGTAGAAATGCAAGCTGGTGCAACCACTCTGGAAAAAAATTTGGAGACTTCTTAAAAATCTAAACATAGACCTGCCATATGATCCAGTAATCACATCCTGGGGATATACCCAAAGGAATGCACACAGGTTACTCCAGCACCTGCACACCCATGTTTATTGCAGCACTATTCACAATAGCCAAGTTATGGAAACAGTCAAGATGCCCCACTGTTGAATGGATCAAGAAAATGTGGTACTTACACAATGGAATTTTACTCAGCCATGAAGAAGAATGAAATCTTATCATTTGCAGGTAAATGGATGGAACTGGAGAATATCATTCTGAGCGAGGTCAGCCAGGCTCAGAAGACCAAAAATCATATGTTCTCCCTCATATGCAGACTTTAGATCTAGGGCAAATGCAGCAATGTGGTTGGACTTGGATCACATGACAAGGGAGAGCATACACGGAGATATAGGAATAGGTAGAAAACCCAAAACATGAAAGCATTTGATGTCCCCACTTAAGAGGAACTAATACAGAAACCTAAAATGACAGAGGTTATCATGAGCAGGGGATCAGCAACCAATGTAAAGATCAGAGTTAGAGATGAATCAACATAGGTTGTAACACATGGGTACATGAAAGCAATAGCAGGAATCTCTCTGTATGGCTATCCTTAACTCAACTAGCAAAAACGCTTTGTCTGCCTTATTATGCTTGTGTCATTTCTTCAACAAAATTAGTGATAAGGGCAGAACAGGATCTGCCTGGAACTGAGGGAGGGAGCGGGGGAAGGGTGGGAGAGGGCGGCAGGGTGGAGAAATGACCCAAACAATGTATGCACATGTGAATAAATGAAAAAAAAGCAAGCAAACAAACAAAAGAATTCTGATTCAGGTGTGTGGTGCATGTAATGATTTTTGACAGAGCTTTGGACACTGAGCATCATTTATAGATGAACCAAAACATTGGGGGAAACTTCACTGACCCAACTTTTACATAGGAGACTCTCATGCTCCCATACATCAAACAAAAACCAGTTAAAGAAACTAGAATTCCAGCCTACGCTTCCTTTGTTAAAAGTCATTTTACTTAGTTGACGGCATTTGTAGAGTGATGAAGACTCAATGAATGTTGTGGAGGGAGTTCCCATTCTGTGATCTTTTGCAGATTTCACTTCCAGTGATGTTTTTTTTTT